AACACATCTTTATGATTCATGAATGGCTTCTGTGTTCAGAAGAGACTTGAGAGGAGAAGATATCACTTGGGGCGTGTCTTCTTCCTCCCCAGCGTAGGGCTGGCCCCGCTGACAGCAGGTCCTATGTGCCAGGATTGGAGGGCTCAACCCACTTCTGGTTGCTCCACACTCAGGCAACATACATTTTTCAAGTTGATTCTCTAGCACAATAACACCCTCTTCCCCTGCTCCATTTGTGGAATTGAGATTATGTGGGTGGAGACATTGAATTGGTTGGAAACATCTGGCTCCAGGGCCATACAAGGCCTGCAGAAATCATTTGATCTATGATGGGACAAACGTGTATGTTTCTTGTATGCTTTTTGTTTGTTGCCATCTGCTTGTATTGATAATCTTGTTTGGCCCAAGAAGGTTGTTATAAATATCCAAATAACCCTTTGGCAGCAAAAAGGGTATCATGATACCCCCAGGGTATCATTTGAAGCCAGTTAGAGGAGCGGCCGCATGTCACCTGTGGCTGTGAGGAACTCATTTAGAGCAGGTGGGAGTCCTTCATTGCTCTTTGTCCCTGTCCTTCATGTCCTGTGCTGGTAAGTGAGGATATGAGGATAGCTGCATGGCCCCTGGAATCATCCCTGCTTGGGTGTTCAGTCATGAGGCCTGCATTTGCTTCCACCTGCCTTTGTTTGTCTTTTTTATGGCATGCCTTTTTCTGTTTTAATTTTCCTCTTTCAGTTATAAGCTGTAGCTGAAAGCATGTGTATCTGAGCACCAACTTGTCTTTGAATAGTCTTTTCAGTTACATTTTCCCATAACCAAAGATACTCAGCTACATTAATTAAAGCACCTCCTTACTCAGAGGGAAAGTTGTTCAGTTGCACCATTTGAAATGTGTTGAGTAATAGACCTCCTGAAACATTAAGTAATATTGGAAGAGGAAAACTCTTACTCCACATGGCATATTCCTGTATTTGGAAGGGCAGAAATGTTTTTTTTTTTTAGATTCCTTATAATACCTAGAAATTTCAACATCCCAGTTAGTAATTGAAAGAGCCAGCAGATAGAGAATGAGTGAAGGCATATTTAGACTGAAGAGGACTACCAGTTAACTGAATATAATTAACAGTTGCAGAGTATTTTATAAAACAATAGCAAAATGCAAGTCATTGTCAAGCTCAGTGGAACCATTACTGTAGATCATTTCTGCAATGGAAACCACATTTTAACAAATTAAAAATATAGAAATTAAATCAAATGTGCTCTTAAATAACAGTGGAATAAAACTAGATATTAATTACAGAAAGTGTAGCAGAAAATCCCCAAGTATTTGGAGATCTAAATTATTGTTTGTTTTTTTCATTTTCTTTAAAAAAATAGTATTAGCATAGAGGAATTGTACAGAGATTTCATTGGGATATTTACAACATGAATATAATAGGCATTGATCAAAAATACAAAATATATAGGGCTGGGAAGGTGGCTCAGTGGTAGAGTGCTTGCCTTGCATGCTCGAGGCCCTTGGTTCGATTCCTCAGCACCACATAAGCAGAAAGAAAAAGCCGGAAGTGGCGCTGTGGCTCAAGTGGTAGAGTGCTAGCCTTGCGCTGAAGAGCTGAGGGACAGCGCCCAGGCCCAGAGTTCAGGCCCCACGACCGGACCAAAAAAAAATATATATATATATTATTCTTTATTGACATATATGCATATGCCATATATATCTTAAGTAGTCATATATATCACACATATAAATATACATCACATAAGCCATACATGTCATACATATCATATGCCATATACATCACACACATTGTATGTGGCGTATGAATGCCACATGCGACATATGTGCCACACACAACACATGACATGTGTATACCACACGTGTCATATGTATCATGTGTCATACACGTCAAGACAACACACGTGTGTCACAGTGCTGCATACATGCCGTTTATGCCATGCATTCACACATACCACTTACGTCACATACATGCCATATAAACCATGCATGTAACATATCACATGTATCACATGGATCACATATGTCAACATAGGCATGTAATGAGATACATGCCTATGTTGGCATATGTATATATATTGGCCTGTATATTTTGGAAGGGCAGAAATCTTTTTTTTGGGGGGGTCCGGTCGTGGGGCCTAACTTTGGGCCTGGGCCCTGTCCCTCAGCTCTTCAGCTCAAGGCTAGCACTCTACCACTTGAGTCACAGCACCACTTCTGGCTTTTTTTTTTCTGCTTATGTGGTGCTGAGGAATCGAACCCCAGAGCCTTGAGCATGCAAGGCAAGCGCTCTACCACTGAGCCACCTTCCCAGCCCCCAAGGGCAGAAATCTTAATTGGCATGTTGCTGAAGAAGCTGGCACCTTCCATCTAGCTGCACACAATTCTTTGTTCTGTCCTAGACTACATTTTTTTGGGGGGAACCATTCTCTCTCTGTCTCCCTGTCTCTGTTTCTCTGTCTGTCTGTCTGTCTGTCTCTCTTTCTCTCTCTGTGGTTTTGTTGTGGATGATACATTAAATCCTTTGTGTCAGTACCTTTATAGCAAAAATTCTACAGGGTTTTAATAGTCATATCCAAAAATTCTATTTCTTTTCAAATCAAAATGTTTGTTATAGTTTCTTGGATTCTAATTTGTCACTTGCGTTAGAAATTTATTATTATTTGTCTTAGCAATAAATGAATTAAGACCCTAAATGGGTTAGCCGACAAAGCAGGCCTGGTCATCAACATCCTACAAGAGAACAAAACAGTGACGCTTTTTTTTCTCTTTATTCTTTGGTTTCATAATCTCCAATCTAGTTGACTCTTGAAATCTTGGATGTAGTGGATGGTATTCTCTCATCTGAGGGAAAGTGAGGGAAGATGCTTTATAAAAATGCCCTTCTCAGGCTGGGAAGGTGGCTCAGTGGTAGAGTGCTTGCTTTGCATACATGAGGCCCTGGGTTCGATTCCTCAGCACCACATAAGCAAAAAGAAAAAAGCCGGAAGTGGTGCTGTGGCTCAAGTGGTAGAGCACTAGCCTTGAGCTGAAGAGCTGAGGGACAGCGCCCAAGCCCAGAGTTCAGGCCCCACAACCGGACCCCCGCCCCCCAAAATGCCCTTCTCTTCCTTGCAAAATGCCCTGCTCACTTACTAACCACTGGAGTGCCTTCTGAGGTGCTGCTGTAGGCAGATTCACAGGCTGCTGCCATTCCAGAATGCAGAATGTGATCGTAAGGAGCTCACACCCACAGAACTGAATCCTCATGCATGTCACTGCTTTGTTCTGCTCTGACAGGACTTGTGCATGTGTGTCCACTTTGTTTTCATGCAGATTACATCCTATGGATCATGGAAGAAAGTAAGGGGAAGTAAGATTTGTGCTGACCTATACAGCCTTTACTATTTTTAAATAGCCCATGGCTCGTGTTGATGTTTAGGAAAGACATTTGTAGAGGAGTCGCCTTAGGAAGGCTAGGTAATAGTAAAGCTAAATTCCTGCTGAGCTTCTAACTGGACATGTCTTTCCTGTCTCCCTGCTTCTGCCACTCCTTACTCCTCACTCTCTAGCCCCATTTTTCTCATCCATGAGATGAGAAGATGACGGTGGCATGTCTTCACTCATCTTTCTGCCTGGCCTCCAACCTCTTTCTCCTGGTGTTCTTCCTTTCCCATGTCTTCTGTGTTTTGTTGTGCCCAGAATCTCATCTCAGCATTTCACTATAAAATAGCTGCTAGATCAAAACCTTGTCCTGGGCTCCTTGTACTGTTGGGTACTATGCTGTGTAGGTATTGTGGTGGGTATGTAGTAAAAGTCTTTTGGTTGATGATGATAACTAAACTCTAAGTTATTGGATAATGATTAAAATACATAATAGAAGGACTCAATATTTTATTCTATGATGAAACCTTTCTTGATACTTACTATTGGTCATTGATATGCAAAGTGTGATGTTATAAATGTCTGGAAGAGGATTTTTCTCTAATTATTGTATCTTTGACTTGAAATAAGCAAACAGGATACCCTATAGGAAGCCATACAGTCCACAGCCAGTAACACAGTGGGAGATTAACTTTCTGGGAGAATATTTGGACCAGCTTTACCTTAATGACCCTGTCACTTAGGTGAGAGAGAAGCTCTCTCCTGTAGCTCCGAACTCTTCCTCAGAGGCCTGCCCCTGGGCAGCATTGTCTGGATAGAATGTGTCCCAGGAAAAATGCAGTATGGGACAAGACTTTCTTCTGCCCAAGGCTTTTGTGGGGGTGCACTAATAACATGAACATGAGATGAGACAAGGTTGGGCACACCGCGGAGCACCTTGGTAAATACTGCAGGAGTGGTCTCAGGGAGACGCGTTCTTAGTGAAGCTGGAGTTTTGCTGGTCCTCTAGCTGAGCATATCACGCCTGCCTCCTTGCTTATGCGACTCGTAATTCTTCACTGTAACCCCGTTTATTTTTATCTCTATGTAGGGTTTCAAAGCATTGCTTTTGTACATCACTTTTCTGATATCATTTCTTCACTCTATGTCTGTCTGTCTGACTGTCTGTCTGTCTGTCTGTCTATCTCTCTCTCTCTGTCTCCCTCATAGTAGTACTGGGGATTGAACTCAGGTCCTTGTATATGCCAAGCAGGCATTCTACCACTTATGGTCATGCCTCTGGTCCCTTTTATGTTAGTTATTTTCAAGATAGGGACTTACTTTATGGTTACAATAGTCTGGGCTGTGACCTTTCTATGTGTTGTTGGGAGTGACAAGCATGTGTCACTGGTACATAGACTTCATGGCTCCCCATCAACTCAGCATTTCAGACAATGTGGCAGGAAGATTGTAAGTTCAAATTCAGCATGGACTACATTGTAAAACATCAAAAAAAAATGTAAAGGAAGGAAGATGGGAAAAGTTGCCTGACAGGGGTATGATGGATTTCCTCAGTAGCTGCCTACATGACTTGTTTCAGTATCTTTATTGTTTGTTTGTTTTTTCCTCCCATTGCTTGTAGCGGAGATAAAAATCTGTTTTAAATACTACCACGGCATCAGTGGAGCCCTGCGAGCCACAACCCCCTGCATCACAGTGAAGAACCCGGCTGTGATGGTGAGTGCATCTTCTTGCTGGCCTCCTGTGAGGGCCGCACACAGACGTGGTTTCTATTTTTGCCTGTGCAGCCTGACAGGCTTATGAGAAACAATGGAAAGCAAGTTCATAACAGTGTGGGCACACATTTAGAAAAGGAAATCACTTAACAAGGCTGGCATCTCATGAGCGAATGGGGAAAATGTTAGATATGCAACAGTCCTGTGTCTTGTCAGTTTTCTGCGGAACCTGTGCATGAGGTACAGGGTCCTGAGTGTACTGTCACAGAAGGTGTTAAACTTAGTTGGGGTAACCCATTGACAGGAAAGGGTGGCATTAGGTGAAATTAAGTGAATTCAGAGTAAAAGAGAAAAAGTTGCCATTTAAATAGAGAACTCAACTTGCTCATCAACTCAAGGAGATTGAAAAGGGTATGTAAATTGCTGGTTCTCATGAGGTTTTAGTGTTAGATTGCCTCACTCTTGTTGGGCTGTAGTGCCTCATGGTGAGCCGCGCATATTTTTGGAACGACCTGGCCTCTCAATGTAAGGTACCTTCTTCATCCAGTCCTCAGATGAAGAACCAGCCAATGGACTTCTGGGGAAACATAGCACTGGTCTCTTGAAAAGAGCATGTTTATTCCCAGAATAGCATTCTGCTAAGGATTGCCTTTCACAATTTTGCGATTTTTACATCTAATGATCAGATTTTTAAAATGTATCCTTCTTACAACATGCTTCTTCTCCAAGGTAACATGGATAGTTGGACTCAGGAAGTTTAGGAAGACTCTTAAGAATCCAAGATGTCCCTTATTTGCAATATCTAGTATATGTATGAGTCAAGCGGAAAAGGTCAGATAATGTGATGTCAGGAAAATGAACCCTTAGATATGTATTTTAATGTTTTTTCTTTCATGCATGTGTTTCTAACGCATTTATAAGATTATCTCTTTGTTGCTTTGTATGTCCCTCCCCCACAGTATAACCCCTGCTTTCACTATATTTGATGTCAGTATAACTTGTGGAGGAGATGGGGAAAAACCAGTTGTTTAAGGATACAGGTGGACCTGTTGCAACAATGAGAAGTACAAGTTGTCATGCCCAAAACGAGCTTTACAATGTCGGTGGGGGGGGAAGGGGGGGGGAAGGAGAAGGATTGGGATTGGGGGGGAGGGGGGAGGCTGGGAAGGGATGTGAAGGGTAAACAAAGGAAGAGGCTGCAATTCTTGGTAAGAAATGTACGCATTATCCCGCCCATGTAATTGTAACCCTTCTGTACAGTATGTTCACAAATAAAATAAAATTAAATTAAAAAAAAAGAATCCAAGATGTGTAAATCCTTGCGGATTTTATTAGTCACTAGTAAAATTGAGATCATGAAAATGTAGATTCCCAAGGAGCACAATCTTTATAATATTATGTGTAGGCATGTATGTATATTCACATTAAAAATGGTGACAGATTTGGAAATAGGCAAGTGGCCAGTTGGATTTTGTGTGTGTGCGCCAGCCCTGGGGCTTTGGCTTGGGCCTGGGCACTGTTCCTGAGCTTTTTGGCTCAAAAGTATCTCTCTACCACTTAAGCTACAGCTCTGCTTCCAGCTTTTTGATGTCCAATTAGAAACAAGAGTCCCACAGAATTTCCTGCCCTGCCTGGTTTCAAATCACAATCCTTAAATCTTGGCCTTCTGAGTAGCTAAGAGTACAGGTGTCCAGTGAGATTGATTCTTTTAAGAAATAGTTATTATTATTATTTATTTTGTTTAGGTGGTACTGAGGAATTGAACCCAGGGCCTCATGTATGTTAAGCAATCACTAAGCCACATTCCCATCCCTGAAGTTGATTTCTTAAATTAGAAAGTAGACCCTACATTTGACATTTTGGAATTGGCCAGACTAACGATGTATTGTCTTTAGTAATGTCTGGGCCTCTGAATCAGTCTTTCCTTTTCCTTTATTTATTCAAACAAATACTATTGGGTGCCTGCTAACTACCAGGCATGATGCTCACCACTGGGACCAGGTGATAAGAAGAACACAGCTATTGTTCTTATTGGCCTGCTAAACAATATGAAAGTATTTATTTATTTCAATGATAATTGAGTAGGGAGTAGTATATTAAAGCTATGAGACCCTGGCCAGGAGAGTCTTGGAAATTTTCTCTAAAGAAGGCAAGGCATGGTTGAGGGATAAGTTAAAGGATGCATAAAAAGAGCACAAGGAAGGGTATTAAGACAAAAATTGCAGACACTACATTGTGGCAAACTTGGTGTGAAATATAAAAGAATACCTTGCATTACTGTGTGAGCATTTGAAGGTCATAAAAAGAACAATAATTGTGGTCTGCAAAAATCTTCAGTGTCATAGGCAGTGGCCTTGTTAACTCTCTAAAACAAAAAATTGCACAAGCTAGATGAGTGTAGCTGTATATAATAAAAAAAAATCTTTGACTGATTTGACTTTTGTGTGAAACTGGCTAATTAATAATACTAATCAGCAGTTTCTGGATTAGAGTTTTTCATACTTTAGAAATTTCAGTCTCAGATATCACTGAAGGCAATTGGAGTTTATAATCTGCTGAATATTGAATTCGTCCCATCAATTTTATATTGAACTAAATCTATTAAAGCCTGCAGATAGCTTAGAATTAATTAATTTGCTTCAAACGGGTTTTAGAGTACTTAAAAGCGTCATCAGTAGAGCACTGCAATAAGAAAACAGTAGTTTGGTTCAGAAACTCACGTGAATCACGTGGCATGGATGTCGGACCACGCTGGAAACTCTGGGGTCATTGTTCATGTGAATACTTTCTTTGGGGAGAAGCAAACACTGGACTTGATAGCAGCATGATTCTCCCTGTCCCTCAGGTATATGGCATGTGTTTAGTTATCCTGACTGATTCACAGCACTGATCTTCACAAATCTCGCTAGTATCATTATACCAAGGCTAAATGCATAGAATCAACCTGGAAGGAAAGACGCAAACTCCACAGCAAAAAAGAATGAGTGGCCACCCTAATCGTGGTCTCCTTTTTCATATATCCTATTGTAATGAATCAAGGATAAAAAAAAGAATTCTGTCATCTCTACCATTCGTACTTTGATGTCATTGTCATTCATCAGAGTACACAGTGATACGGGTCTCAGCCCCTGGAACAGGAAATCCTTTGGCTGCCGGGGTAGATTACGGCCACCATCATTCACTACCACTCATTGTTTCAGCACTTGGTTGAGAAGTAAACTTGACAGTGTTCCTTTTCAGTTTTCCTGGAATGAATCTGTGGAGTTTATTTAAAACCTCTCCCTAAACACAGAGTACAGATATGTTCGGTATCACTAATGTCCCTGTATTTAGTGGTACCATTCGGTCTTTCCTGGCTTTATGATAACAAATGAATTTTTTCAGTATCTTGCTAGAGAAGTCCTATAGGATACTTTTTCTTTGAATTCTACAAGAACTGGTTCATATTAGCCTTTTGCTCGATGATAAATTATATCTTGAAAGTGACAGTTGGGAGATAATTTTCCTTTTTCTTCATTTTTAAAACAATATCTCACTTAAAATGGGTATATAAGAATAGACACAAAGATGACATGTTCTTAGAGGGCCACTTCCCACTGGGCAGTGTGGTCTATTTGAGTAGGTCCGGTCTCCTGGATCTACTATGACATGGTGTAGCAAAGAGCAGGGTGCTGCATGTCAATCTGTTGTAATCTTCAGTATGTTCCCATGGTCACCACCATGGTCAGGGGTTATTCCGTGCTGTGAATGCAGGATAGGAAAATTACCATCATCAATTGTCTACACAATTTGCTGCTGCCTCTGAATACTTAATCTGGGGATAATGAGTCAAAAGAATATGAAAACAATATAACAAATCCCACATATTTTCTGGGCAACAGTTGTATGATTGTTCATCAAGAAGCTGATGGTATGGAAGGGATGAAATAGTGATACCTAGATTGTCCCCTGGTATGTTGTACATAATAAGTGAAATGGTTACAAGGAAGTTAAATTCCACCACAGTCTTGACTACTGTAGCAAGAGCTAGAGAGATGACAGACAAAATTTGAAACTTATTTAGCATTTCATTTACAAGTTTTCATCTTTGCTTGGATTCATAGTGATAATTTTTAATTTCCTGATGGTGTGTCATTTTTATAGGAGATATAAAGCATAGGAAATTTAAGAAAAAAATCAGTAGTCAAGATGGCTTTTACAGACAGATTTTAATTAGGAATTAAGGCAAGAATGAGAAAGAGATCTCAATGTAGATTTGAGTCAATTCTAAACACAATGAAGGAAAGTAGAGATTTATAGCCAAAGAAGAGTGGATGAAAATGACTAAGAAAGGAGAAGGTAGAACAATTCTTGCTAAACTGACCTAACAGAATTCTTCCTGAAGATAGGCCAAAATGATTTAGTCCTGGATACTATTGGAGGAAAAAGAGTTGTCAGATATCAATGGAGATTACATTTGGAGGGTTGGGATTCTCTGTAAATGACAATAGGGATTTTTTTTTTTCTTCTAAGACTTAACTCTTCCAAGATGTAGATTAAAACCCAAGATCAGGTCTAGTTGAGCAGAGGACTCAAAAGAACATTGCTAAAATTTGGTCAGCGAAAGATTCTTGATTGTAGGGTTTAATCTGAACTTCAGAACTAAAGTGTGATTTCTATTTTAGATCTTTTTAGAATAAGGCCTGCCTTCAATTCTGTGCCTTATAATATTATGTATTTTTTTCCTAGCATATCACAAATTGTACACTGATTGCACATAAATTGAGAGAAGGTTTTAAAATTGCTATGCAGTCTATCAATTACTGGTTTCATGTGAGATACAATTTGCCCCAAAAGTTTAAAAACAAATGATCACCACAATAGCACCACAAATTCCTATCATTGCTAATTATAATAGTGTGTGTCATGTACCTATGTAGCCGAACAGAACAGGACTCTAGAAAGGAGGTTGATACATACCTTGGTATGATTTGAATATGGAGGGTCCCCCACAAGTTCATGCATTAAGGCATACGTCTTTAGCTGAGGGTGGGATTTGAGAAGGTTCTGGGCACTTTAGAAGATGGAGCCTGGCTGGAGAAACTAGGTCAGTGGGAACTAGTGGGAGTGTGGGAGCTGTTATCTTGTCCCTGGCCTCTTCCTGTCTCCCTGCTCTTTGCTTCCTGTCAGCCTTGCAAGTGGTTCACAATCAAGAGCCACGTGACCATGAACTGAAACCTCTGAAAGTCTGAGCCAAAAGAAATTCTTTCAGCTTTTCATGGTTTATGTCAAATACTTCTGTCATAGTGATGCAAGTAGCAGGAAGGAAAACTTCTGTACATACAAATGAGTATTTGGCTTATTATAGATTTTCCTAATAAATCAGAAGGAATTCAGTATTTGCTTTTGAAGAGAATGTTTAATATAGTGGCAATCATATAAGTACATATACTACATACAAATTATATTATTATTAGGGAAAAGAGGACCTAAAATAGGCTGATTCCTATTCCAATGAAATTTCGGAGCTCATGTTTATTTTTTATTTTGGGTGAGGATTCAATGTGAGTATGACCGCTTCGCTTGTGCTTCCGTTCCAAGATTTGGAAATTTAAAGACATATGGCGTAACGCTTTTTGATGCAAACATGGTTGTATTTGCAAATGTATGTAGTTCCCTGGGAAGATTTGGTGGCATAATTCTGTATAAAACACAGATGCGTATCTTTTTTTTTCTCTTCAGATGGGGGCAGAAGGCATGGAAGGGGGTGCCTCAGGGAATCTGCATTCACGGAAGCTTGTCAGCTTTACCTTGTCAGGTAAGAATTTCTTTCACTGAGGCATCCAGTTTGAGACTGGAGGATTAACTGCTTCTTTCTACAGACTCTTATACATGCTTCTAGCTGTTCAGGTATATAGCTTACCTTGAAGAAACAAATTATTAATGTAAATTCAAAAAGTGTTTTTTCAACTGCATTTTAATGAAAAAAATCACTGAAACTGTAGTATAACATGCTAAATTTCACTGAGGAGTTCTCATTATTTTAAATATTAGTGCATAGTTCAGATAGAGAAAGAAAAATGTGAAGACCAGGGAAAAAAAAAGACAAAGCATATGTTTGCATGTGTGTGTGTGTGTGTGTGTGTGTGTTTATAGCCAGGTGCTCTGGGTTCATTTCTGTAATCCTAACTATTAAGAAAGCTGAGAGCTGAAGATAGTGGTTTAAAGCCACCCTGGGCAGGAGAGTCTGTGAAACTCCTATCTCTGGTTAACCACCAAGAAGCTGAAAGTAGAAATATGAATGCCAGTCTTGAGCAAAAGAGCTCAGGGACAGCACCCAGATGCTGAGTTCAAGCAAAAAAAGAAAATGGACAGTTGCTTTTGTTTTCTGCTTAGTGGAATATTTCAATTGCTTGTGGGTTTATCATATAGTTTAAAGCATTGCTTTTCAAATTATGAATTGGGACACATTTGTACTTCATGAGTTTGAGTTGAAACAAGCATTTCTTTTTTTAAAGAGGAGATTGTCAGGCAGCAATGGCTCACACATGTAATTCTAGCTACTCAGGAATCTGAGATCTCAGGATTGCAGTTTGACGCCAGCCGCATCAGCAGTCTCTATGAGACTCTTATCTCCAATAAACTACTCAAAAAAGCCAGAAGTGGGGCTGTAGCTCAAGTAGTAGAGCGCTAGGCTTGAGCATGAAGAAGCTTAGGGACAGTGCTCAGGTCATGAGTTCAGGCCCCAAGACTGGCAAAAGAAAAAACAAAAGAGAATAATATTGGAGTGATTACCAATGGGTTTCCCCCCACCTGAAACATCATGCAAACTGAAACTATTTTCACTGAAAGTTGATATATCTGTGTATGTGTACTGAATGGCAACATACAAAAGCAAAATTTACTTTCGGCCCAGGGTGATGTCAAAAAGTTTGAAAAGCACTGATTTAAAAGATGAATTAGTAGTGATTAAAAGCATCATTTTTTAAAAAGAAGAAATAGTGACAAGACTGTTATATTTGATCAAAGTATATTGCATGTATATATGAAATATCACAGTGAGGCTCCTTTGTATAATTAGTATACATTAATTTTTTTAAAAAGCATAGAAGGAAGAACAAAAAAATCAGTCTCTGAATTGAATTTGTGTGTGTGTGTGTGTGTGTGTATGTACATGTGCACGTGTGTGCACACCAGTCCTGGGGATTGAACTCAAGGGCTGAGCACTGTCCCTGAACTTTTTTGCTCAGGGCTTGCCCTCTAGAACTTGAGCCACAGTACCACTTCTGGCTCTTTGGTAATTAATTGGAGATAAGAGTCTCACAAACTGTGATCCTCATATCACAGCCTCCTGAGTAGCTAGGATTACAGGCATGAGCCCCTGGTGCCTGGCTGAACTGAACTTTTAAAACAGATGGCAGTATTACAACACACACACACAACACACACACACACACACACACAAGTGTAATAGATATCTCTCTCTAAAGATGTTTTGTTTTCATTCTTTTTTTAAAAAAAATCTAAGGCTTTTGAAATTTAAATTAGATCTTTTGTGTGTGTGTGTGTGTGTGTGTGTGTGTGTGTGTGTGTGTGTGTGTGTATGCTTCTAGGATTTGAACTCAGGATCTTAACACCTTCTAGGCAGATGCTCAGGTTGTTTTTTGAGATAGGACCTCACTGTTGCCCAGGTCATCCTGGACTATGATTTACCTATTTTATACTTCCTTCTGTAGCTAGGATAAAAGATACACACCGCCATTCACTGAGATAAAGTTTCGCAAACATTTTTACCTAGTTGGCTTAGAAATGCAATCCTTTGATCTCAGCCCCCTGTGTAGCTGAGATAACAAGTAGACACTACTCTTCCCAGTGATTGTTGGGATGAGCTCTCATTAACTTTTTTCTCAGACTGTCTCCGAACTGCCTGATCTCACCTCTGGAGTAGCTAGGATTATAATATTCACCACCAGCGTTCAGGTTAGATCCACTTTTCTTGGCTGCAAACATGCTGCAAGTGAAAAGAAGCATTGAAAGTGAGATGTTACAGAGAGAAGCTCCACAGGGCGCAGTTGTCACCTAACAACCAAAGTGTTCACAGCTCTTCATTTCTAGTCTTTGCACCATCTTTTCTCCTCTTACTCGGTGCTTCATATGAATGCATCATTTGCTTTGGTTCTCTAGTAAATCTCCGAGGTTGCAAAATTGGAAGCTTAGGGTTCAAATATAGTTTGCTTGAAATCCTTAGGAATTTTAAAATGTCCAGTTTTTCAGAATGATACTTAAAAGTACCACTTTTAAGTAACACACACGTGCACACACATAATATACACACGATGTTTTAACATACTCTATGGATTGCTTGCTTGGTTTAGACATGTTGCCCTATGATTTCAATTGCTCTGGATCATTTTATTCTTTTTTTTTTTTCTTTTTGGGTCCGGTCTTGGGGCCTGAACTCTGGGCTTGGGCACTGTCCCTCAGCTCTTCAGCTCAAGGATAGCATTCTACCACTTGAGCCACAGAGCCACTTCTGGCTTTTTTCCTTTTGCTTATGTGGTGCTGAGGAATCGAACCCAGGGCCTCAGGCATGCAAGGCAAGTGCTCTACCACTGAGCCACCTTCCCAGCCCCGATCTGGATCATTTAAAACACAACCTTCATGTACTGGTTTTGACTTGACAGGGAATTTTATTAATCAGGAGTTTGTGAATCATCAGGAATGGAGATTGCAAGGATAATGAGATTACAGCAACTTTCTCTGAATGCCTGGCTCATTCTTTACTCATCTTTTCCTTCTCTTACTGGTTTTCAGAGTCAACATCACAATACATTTAATGCAGTGTTGTTGATAGAAGGTCCTCTTGGTTGAATATTTCAGTATTTGCTGACATACTGAACTTTCCCCTTCTACTGCCCGCATTGTGTCATGAGAAGGTCCTCATCCGCTTTCATCCCATGTAATGGCCATGAGTTCTTGTGAGGCATTGGTCAGAGTTCTCTCGGGAGTATGTCCTTGGCAGTTGGCTCCCATAATCCATTTTGTCTTTCCCAACAAAGGCCTTCTATTTCAGGAAAGTGCTTGTGTATGATGACCTCTATAATAAAGGTTTGGGCACAGACTTTTCCCTACTTGATCTAATCTAAAGGCCTCCATGAGGCAAACTTCCTGGAGTGGAATGTTCTGGACCTGCCCAAGACTGTTTGAAACAACATGAAGTTCCCTACAGTCTTCCAGAAGTTTTCAAGCTCACTTATCTCACAGAGCTATAGATTCATCAAACCAATATTGTTAGAAAGGTCAGCTTTAGTTCCTGACATTTATGTATCCGTTAGCCTGACCATCTTAAAAATGTCTCCTCTCGGGGCTGGGAAGGTGGCTCAGTGGTAGAGCGCTTGCCTTGCATGCATGAGGCCCTGGGTTCGATTCCTCAGCACCACATAAGCAAAAAAGTAAAAAGCCAGAAGTGGCGCCATGGCTCATGTGGTAGAGCGTTAGCCTTGAGCTGAAGAGCTGAGGGACAGCGCCCAGGCCCAGAGTTCAGGCTCCACGACCAGACACCCCCCCCTCCCGCCAAAAAAAAAGAAGTCTCCTTAGCCTTCAGCTAAGACTTTTAAGCAACTCCTCATGAGTTGTTTCATGATGTCAAACATAATCTATGGATTGAAGGTAGGTTATAAACCATTTATCAAAACATTTAAGTGAATTTACAGGCTTTGAGAAAAGTAACTGCAGAATTACTTATACTAATGAGTAACATTCACAACATGTTAGAAACATTTCTGATCAACTTTCCTCTGACATTCATTACATACATTGAGCAATATGACATTTATAAAAGGATCAAATGAATGTGTACTTCGGAGTTCAATCTCTAAGCTTAGTTCAAACTTATTTCTACTTATTCAAAAGTCAAACTTAGTTCTACTTACACAAGAGTGTGGCTTTTTTCATTATGGAATATGTTTTTCAGTAAACAGCTTGTTAAATATTTCTCTCCAGACATTGTCTAAGATTGTTTTCCAAACTACGTTGCACTGGGAAAAGATGCTGAAGATGCTCATGTTGTAATACAAAGGTTTCTCAGGAAAGTCAAATTTAGGAGTGTGACATGGTGGTTAGTGTGTGGTATCATTTCTGTTTTGCACCCTGTTAGGGGGGTCTCTGTGCTGGAATTATTGCCATAATCCAGTTGTCCTCATTTGTCTGAGAAGTTGTAGTGTGAATAACTTTGCTATCGGTTTACCAAACAATTTCTGTTTAGAGTATTCTATGTGATTATTTAAGAACAAATTGTCTTTGAGCTATTTGTTCTAATCTGGATATATGGACCCTTCCTTCCCTTCTGTCTCCTTTTTCCTTCTACCTCTTGTTCTTCCTTTCTTCTTCTTTGTCCCTCCCTCTTTACTGTCTCTCTCTGTCGCTGTCTCTCTGTCTCTCTTTCTTTTTCTTTAAAGATCTCAGGGCAGTTGGGCTAAAGAAAGGGATGTTCTTCAATCCTGACCCTTATCTTAAGATGTCCATTCAGCCAGGAAAGAAGAGCAGTTTCCCCACCTGTGCCCACCACGGGCAGGAAAGAAGGTCTACTATCATCAGCAACACCACGAATCCCATCTGGCATCGAGAGGTAAGTCGATCCTCAGGGGGTTTCTACCTGACAAGCCAGCAGCCAAGTTCATCTGAACTCTGTGCAGTGGGTGCTGTTTCTGGGTGGGTCCCCAAAGGGTGAGGTAGTTCTCTTGGGAAGGGGTACAACGAGAACGAGCTATTTCCATCATGAAAGCCTTGTCTGTAGGTACTCGAGTGAAGCCTTCCCTCAAGTGCACAAGTTAAGGGTCTAACAGAGGACTCAGAGATCAAAATAAATACCCTAATGATTTCTTTAAACAAAAAGTCATCATGAACAAAACATCCACATTTTAAATAAGAGCAGAATCTTTAAAATACTGCCTTGCAACTGTTGACATTTTGTTCTAGCATATATTCAGATCACATTAAAGGAATTGTTCAGCCTGTGGTCTGTGGCCAGTGTTTTTGTGGATTTCTGGCATTTTGTTCAATGGCCCATTCAGGGAGTTGCCATCCTAGGTGAGGACAGATTGTGTGGAAGGCACAGCTCCATGGTGCTTCTCGTCATCTTTGTGTGCCAAACCAGTGAAGCCAAGCAAAGGATTTTCTCATTAGACCTATGGAAAATCAATAAAGAGATGCCACACCATTTCTCATTGAGTGAACAAGGCAGCTGGAGCTGACCTGGCATTTTTCAGAGATGCAAGGCGTGTTTCACATGTGAGTGCTAGAATGTTTCTGAGTGACCCTTTACTGGCATAGAAGTTACACAGTTAATGACCTCCTCCTCTAAGTGTATAAAGGCCATACTATGGTGTAACATTGTTGTAGAAATATTTAATTAGACAGAGAAATCCAAGGGAACTGAAACCCACTGGAGAAAAGGTATGGCTGAGACTTGCCAGTGCCATGTCTCCTGGGCAGCTCCTGTGGTTATATGAATGGAAACCTATTGGCTATTGTTTATATACCTGGTCTAAAAAACTGTTTATGAACTCGTAATGGCAAAAAAAAAAAATTCTGAAGAACATACCACCGAGTGGCCAAGATTGCAAGCTTGAGCAGTTGGTATCCAACTTGCTTAGCATTTTATTTTATTTCCAACTTATTTATTTTTTGGCTGGGGTAGATGGTAGGGCTTGAATCCACAGCCTTGTACTTCTGGGTAGGCTCTCTACCACTGAGCTGCATCTTCAGCCATCATCACATTTTATATTTACACAATTCTTGACCATATCACCAATGCAAGCCTGCTGGGGGAGTCTGAAAGAAGAGATTATTATCTTTCCATTTTGATAATCAAGAAACTAAAGCTAAAAGTGCTTATATGACTACCTGCCTATTCAGAGGCAGAGGGACTTTAAATTTGGCTTTTTTTTCCCCTGCCAGTCCTGGACTCAGGGCCTGGGCACTGTTCCTGAGCTTCTTTTGCTTAAGGCTAGCACTCTACCACTTGAGCCACAGCACCACTTCTGGCTTTTTCTGTTTATGTGGTACTGAGGAATTGATTCCAGGACTTTATGCATGCTAGCACTCTTCCACTAAGCTACATCTTTTTCTAAGCAAGTGCTTTCCTCCATTAAGCAGACTGCTCAATTGCCTGGCCCTCTGGAGCTCTTTAATCATTATAACTAAAGTGAGTGGTGCCTAAGTTTCTAACAAGCCAGTACCCTTCACACCACAGTAGTTGTGTGGAATGCCAAAAAGAGTGAAATCATTATAATTCAGTTCCCATCTCCAATACTTGCTTATCCTGAGGTTCTGTTTTATAAAGATAAGTTTACCTTTGCAAAAATAAAACAAGTAGGCTCTGGGGCTGAGAAGGTGACTCAGTGGTAGAGCGCTTGCCTTGCATGCATGAGGCCCTAGGTTCGATTCCTCAGCACCACATAAGCAGAAAGAAAAAAGCCGGAAGTGGTGCTATGGCTCAAGTGGTAGTATGCTAGCCTTGAGCTGAGGAGCTGAGGGACAGCGCCCAGGCCCAGAGTTCAGGCCCCACAACCGGACCCAAAAAATAAAAATAAAAATAAAAAAAACAAGTAGGCTCTTTATTTTCTATACTTACCAATGTCCAGTCCAGTTTTCTCTAATTGCAAATCTTAAATCAAAACAAAAAAACATCCCATCTTATGTCATGATTTTAGCTTCCTGGTCCAGAAGAAATGACCCTATGTATTTTATAAATGTATCTTATATACTGAAGTAATGATTCCATATATACCTTGTTTTATTTAAGTATATAGCAGGGAAAGCACAGAACTCTATAGTTCCAAAGATAGTTTGGAACTTCAAAACCCTAAGAGGTTAGGAATTTAGATGGCCATTCATCAAACAGGTAATTTTGAACTATCTTATATCAAGATAATAAATGTCAGAGAATTAAGATACAATACATGTAGTGACTGCTAAAATTAGATTGCGTGTAACTGAATATTTCATGACATTCCCTGGGTCTGTACCCAGAAGGGCTGACTGAATGAAAGGGCTTCTTTTGCCAAAGATTCTTAACAACTAGTGTTTAATTATTAAGAATGTTAATGGCTCCTAGTGACTATGCAACTGACAGATATTTCTAGCAGTGCAGATTCTGAATGCCATTGGGTTTTCAAGAGATGTCAATTTCCTAATGGTTCAAATAGGATAAGGTCACATCTGTCTATCTTTTGAGCCAACATTTACCTGGTGTTTTGTTTTCTTTTCAGAAATATTCCTTTTTTGCACTTTTAACTGATGTCTTAGAAATTGAAATTAAAGACAAATTTGCCAAGAGCCGCCCTATCATCAAGCGTTTCCTAGGGAAACTCACCATTCCAGTGCAGAGACTGCTGGAGCGCCAAGCCATTGGGTAATCTTCTCATACTTTCAGGAACCTTGTTGAGATTACTTTGTACAGAAACAACTGACATGAAGGACGATAATCCTAGGTATTTTCTTACTGACTTAAGAAGCTGTAGTGTAATTTCTTTACAAATAAAACTGCCCTTACAGTAACTGAGCGGACCAAAGTACTTTGTTTTAATTTTGCACCTTTATTCTTGCTATCCATATCTTTTCCAAGGTGTACCGGCTAGTAACATTTCAACACCCTCTCTTATAGTGTGCAATTTTGAGTTATATTGAAATTGTGCTACAAAACTCTCTCCTTGCAGCAGAATTCTCTTGCTAAGCATATATTTACTAGGTTACTCTCCCATTCAGAGAGTCTGTCTTTTTGATCCTGGAAAACAAAGTCAACTTTGTTTACTTAAAACAAGATCTAATTTAGGAGGTATTCTTATGAACTCCCACACATATGCATGCATGCAGTCAGGCATTGACAGACTTTTAGAATGTGATTGATAGCTGTCTCTTTCTGAAAGCTTTTTGTAAGCTGTAAGTAATGTAGCCAAGAAATCATCATAAGCCCTCTCCATGCTTCATGCGCATTCTTTCACAGCAGAGATCAGCAAGCTCTACAGGTGCACTGAGCTGGCACTGGGGGAGCATCTCAGCTGTCTTTTCTCTGAAGGAAAGCATTCTGAACACACAGCGTGATAGCAGCAGCATTCATACCAGTAGAAGCTAGTATGAGCACCATACCAGCAGCAGAAGTAATGATAGTCACCTGAGGTGCTAGGTGATTACTCAGGGTTAAGTGCATCACATTCATTTGCTCAGATACTCGTCTCAGCAACTCTTAGAGGTGGGTAAAGAAATAATAACCATTTCAGAGATGAGAATCTGAAGCTAGCAAGTAAGTAGGATTTCAGTTTAGACCCATCTGTCCTACAATCCTGGTTTCTGTGAAACAACTAAGGACTGGCTGCAATTGCCTTCATAAAGTTGATCATTCATATTCGTTCTGGCAAGTCACAGTTTTGGGAACTTTAGTTTCCTCATCTGAAACTAAAGACTCTGATCACTAAGGCTCTTCAAAACCTCAATCTCAAATAGATTTTGATAGACTCTTTAGACTCTTAGAAGCAGTTTGGGAGTTGGAGTTAACCTCATAAACTAGGAATATTTTATAGAGTTCCAGCAGCATGATTTTCCTGACAAAAGCTGGTAGGCCACAATTATTTTAAGGATAATTGTTATAGCTTCTCGAAAAAAATACCTTTAGGAGTATCTAAAAATTTTTTTTTAGGATTTATAGAAAGTGAAAAGTTAGTGAGAAATTAACTGCAGTACATGTCTTATAATATGATTTAATTTATATAATTATGAGTGTAATTTATATATGACCTTTGATGGAAGTATCAATTTGATGTATGCCAGCTAGTATGATCAAGGCAGAAGTACAAGCTTGCTGGCGACTAAACGTGTTGTTGACTTGCTGTCTTTTGAAGTAGTCTGTTAGAGAACTAGGCACCTAGAGAAATCCTAGTCCTAGTCTCCATGTTTACTGGAAGTAAGTCCAATGTGGCTTCATAAATATCAGAACTGTCAGAAATTTCTCTATGTGTGAACTAAAAGTAATGCAGTAATACTATATATAAGCATATTAGCTATTAGCCTCTCAGTGTAACAGGGCTGATCTGATGACTATTGTCCACTAAGAAATTGATACATTTCCTACCAAGTTCTGTATTTAATTAGTTATGTGTTTGGCAGGCTGCAACTCTCTGAAATAGAATGGTACAGGATGAGGTTTCATAGGATGAGTTAGAAGACCTTATGAATAACCTTTTTTTTTTGTTTATTACCAATGCTGAGTTTTGGATTCAGGGACTTGATCTTGAAAGGAAAGTGCCCTGTCCCTTGAGCCATGCCCCAGTCCTTTGGGTTTTTTTTTCATCTTGATCATATACGGTCTCATGTATTTTACTGCCCAGGCTTGAGATAACAAGTATGTACTTCAATGTCCAGCCTGTTTTAATGGAATTCTATGCCTCCATCAGAAAGAATGATATCGCCCCATTTGCTAGGAAATGGAAAGACTTGGAAAAAAATGTTAAGTGAAATAAATAAGCCAGGCCCAAAGAAACATAGGTCCTGTGGTTTCCCTTATTTACAATAACTAGAATATGTCTGGGACCAGCAGAAAAGGTCAAAAGCTATGTACATATGACCACATAAGATGATCTTAAGCGAAATGAACTCCAGCCTGTTTTAGAGACAAGGTCTTGCTTACTTTTGCCATGGCTAGTTCTGAATTACAATTCTCCTGCTTGCATTTCCACTAATAACCTATTTTGAGAGGATCTGTTTGAATGTGACATATTTTTTTTCAGAGCATGGCCTGCTTTCTTCTAAAACACACTGTAAATTCCTCTAGTTACATCAGTGACAGAATGTCCCGGACAATTAGTGAGAGTTTTAGGGCATGTAGTTTTCATGATAATAAGTAGTAATAATGAGTAAGGATGTGTAGTATGGTCTTCATATTGATCTGTCACACAGCAAGAGGCAGTCAAAATGTCACTGGACAGCCCAGGAGGACCTCTGAATCCTCTGACAGCCACTTAGCATAGGAAAAAGCTCTTGCTCCTTGGAATCTTCTGAACAGGGAGGTTCCCGTAGAGGAACTGAGTTTCCCTTCAGTTATAATTCTTTTCGCCAAGTAGAAGAAATTAATTTGTTAATTGGTTTACTGTATATACATTAGGTGCCTCCTAAGTGTCAATCACTGTGTTGGGAGTTGGAGAAGATAGGTAGAGCCCTGTCCTTACAATTCTTCTGAAACACTCATTTCCTAGCTAAAACTCATTGCTTCTATATATCCTCAGCATTAACATCTCTTTATTTTGATTGGCCACGGAAGAAGGAAGAAGGGTCAATTTTTAAATTCTTAAAGCCTTTGGGCCCAGCGAGATGCGTAAGGAACTGTCAGGCTGAGAGCAGGTCTATAGACTTTGCTATTGGCCTATGCTTCACTGGACACTTCGTCAAGCCCTTTTGTGTGACAGTCATCGCATAATTCTGTAAACATGAGAGAGAAGGAGAAGAAAGACACATGCCATTATGCAGATTATAGTCATTACATGACACCTAGTATTTACAACTGACTATATTAACCTTTTACTGAAATCGCCCCAAATCACAAAGCATATATGACCATGGGAATGTGTTGCAGTGACTAGAGAGTGGGACTCAGTGTTAGATGACCTGTATCTCATCCCAGGTCTGCAACTTCATAGTTGTCTGGTTCTACCTTCCTTCCTTCCTAGAGGAAACAGGATTGCTGTTCATCTTCCAGGTTGCTAGGAGAACTAAAGGAGATCATGCAGGAAAGGCCCTCAACAGACTATATGTGCCACACAGTAAACACTTGCTATAGGGAAACACTAAGCCCTCATCAGGGAGAAAAATCAGCACATCATTTCTAGAATAAAATGTCTAACAAATGTTTACCTTCTTATGTGTTCTTTTAAGTGGATTATACTTGTCCAGGAATGTTTTTAGGAGATACAGATATATACAAAAATTTTGTAGATTAATGTGAAATAGGGGTTCTAGCCTGTATAGGGCCCAATGTTAGGCAGACATTGCATTTTTCCTTTTGAAATAACCACTAGAGGGCAGTGTGAGAACAGAGCTGATGGATATTGGTCTTTGGGGTCTTAAATGTATTAACTATTGAAATAGGATTCAAAGGAGTTCTCAAATAATGTGATTTCTTAAGAAGCCCAAACCAACGTTCAGCAGAATAAACTACCAGGAAGCTGGTACTTGCAGGAGGTAGGGTGGGGTCAAGGGGAATGAAGAGGAATAGAGGGGGAAATGCAGGCAAAAATCCAACGTACGTTCTACAAAATTAAGAATGAGGGAATCGGTGGGAAGGGGCGGGATGAGTGAAAATGTTAAGAGGAGTGACACTGATCAAGATATATTCATAATTGCTTTGTTAAATGGCAACTCCTTTGGACAACTACTTAAAAGATAATACTTTAAATTTTTTTAAAGAAAAGAATAAATAATTTGATTCGGCCTAAGAGTTGCTTGCGTTCAAGAACATGAAGTAATTGCAGTGGACTTTGATAAATAGACATGGACTTGAAAGAGATGATAACTCCGCCCTAACTGGCACTAGCAGCCCAAGATAGGGCAAAAACTGGGTAGACCCAGTTGTGGCCCACGCTCGCATTCAGTGTGGCCCATGACACCCTACTGACAGGAGATCACCTGGATTACCCTACCTTCACCAGCACTGCTCACAAGCCAACCTGAGAATTGGGATCAGGCCAGGACCCTGCACAGTGAGGAAAGAGAGGCCAGTGAAGAAAAAGAGGACCCCTGTCACTGGGGTTGGGGGGTAGGGCGGCTGCTCTCTAGATAGAGCTGTTCTTATGCTACAGCACAATTCTTGCATTTATAAATATTTATTTGCACAAGTAAATAATAAGAATAATAACACATTGGGCCATATTGGGCCTTGAGCCTATATTTTCTTCATGTATGGATCTGAAGGCCTTAAAGGAAATAGGCGGGATTTGAAGGTAGCCTGTTGGAAGAAGCTAAAGGCTGAAAGGGCAAGAATGTAGTAAGGCTGAAAGGACTTTTTCTCCTCCTGCAGTGACCAGATGCTCAGCTACAACCTTGGCAGAAGGCTCCCAGCTGACCATGTGAGCGGCTACCTCCAGTTTAAAGTGGAAGTCACATCTTCTGTTCATGAAGGTGAGGGGTCTGTTTAAATTCATAAACACTCATTAAATCAGTTGGCAGTTTGCATTTGGATAGACTTGAGTTTGTGTCTTGTTCTGAAAATAATAGAGTAGATAAATGATTTCGCCTACTGAGAATTGCAAAGTAGACAGGAAAGGTTTTGGTTTTGTTTTTTTAATGTCTCTAAGATGTATGCCTGCATTTAAAAATTGCATTGCAGAATTTTCAACTGTAGCTCGTATTTTACGTCGCACTCTGGCTAGCAGGCTGCTCATTTGATAGGGAGTCGTGTATCTTAGCAAGTCAAGCATGCGTTCAGGTCTTCAGTGGGATAGTGACATTCTTTGAAGTGATTGATTGCCAGGCAATAGGTTGTGAAAATGTCATTTGCTGTTTCTAGTTCATTTTGCTTTACACATGCTTCCTTTTCATTCAGATGCGTCTCCAGAAGCCGTTGGCACGATCCTTGGAGTCAATACCGTGAACGGGGACCTGGGAAGTCCTTCTGATGATGAAGACATGCCTGGGAGCCACCACGACAGCCCAGTGTGTGTGAACGGGCCAGTGTCTGAGGACAGCACCGCCGATGGCACGCCTAAGCATTCTTTCAGGACTAGCTCCACTCTGGAAATAGACACGGAGGACCTAACCTCTACTTCCTCAAGGACCTCGCCTCCCAGAGGCTGTCAGGACTCACTCAACGATTATTTAGATGCTGTTGAACACAATGGGCCTTGCAGGCCTGGACCAGTGACCGCCTCTGACAGGGCTGTGGGAGCCTCTCCCAAACTGAGGAGTAGTTTCCCCACCGACACCAGACTCAATGCAATGCTCCACATCGACTCGGATGAAGAAGACCACGAGTTCCAGCAGGACTTGGGCTATCCATCCTCCTTGGAGGAGGAAGGAGGGTTGATTATGTTCAGCAGGGCACCGAGGACTGATGATGGGAAGCTGACCTCCCAGACAAAGCCGGAGGACGACAACCCTGCTGAGAATGAGGATGCCTCCACACACGAAGCTGCTTCCTTGGAGGAGAAGCCAGAGAATCTTCCAGAGCTTGCAGATGCCTCCTTGCCCTCAGGCCCAGCCCCAGAGGAAAGTGAAATGGGCCCCCAACCTCAGCCTAGCGCTGACCACGGCAGCACCGAATTGTGTGGCTCTCAAGAAGTAGATCAGCCCACCAGTGGGGCAGACACAGGCACTCCTGACACATCAGGAGGAAGCCGAAGAGCCACCAGTGAGACTGAGTCCCTGGACCAGGGATCGGAGCCTTCCCAGGTGTCCTCCGAAACAGAACCCAGCGATGCTGCCAGGACAGAGAGTGTGAGCGAAGCCAGCACCAGGCCTGAAGGAGAGAGTGATCTGGAAGGTGCTGATAGCTCCTGCAATGAGAGTGTGACCACACAGCTGTCTTCTGTGGACACGCGGTGCTCCTCTCTCGAAAGTGCACGTTTCCCAGAAACCCCAGCCTTTTCTTCGCAGGAAGAGGAAGACGGGGCCTGTGCAGCAGAGGCCCCCAGCAGCTGCCCCGAGGAGGGCTCTCAGGATTCCCTGTGCACTCCAGGTTCTTTACCTGTGGTGCAGGTGCCCAGTGGGGAGGAGGAAAGGCCTGGGGCAGAATCTGCTGTTTTGCCTGACCAAGAGGAGCTGGGGGAAGTGTGGCAGCGGAGGGGGAGTCTGGAGGGAGCTGCTGCTGCTGCTGCTGCTGCTGTGGCTGTGGCTGTGGCTGCTGATACTGATGCTGCGGATGCGGATACCACTGCTGCCGCTGCTGCCGCTGCTGCTGAGACCCAGCCTCAAGATGAGGGGAATGCTGGGGATGCCCAAGGCGCTTGTGAAGGGGCGACTGCCCAGGAGGAGGGTGCTACTGGAGGTAGGGTGTAGAAGGCAGCCTGGCTCTTGGCTCAACTACAGAGAAGTCATGTAGACATTCCCTCCATGAAAATCACAATTCTATATAGGTATATATAGATATATATAGGCTTGTATACATAGGTGACTCCTTTATAGAAGGGGGTGGGGTTACACTAACACTTAGCAAAATGAAGGGTAAGAAAGAGAAGAGGGACAAGACTGGAAACAGGACCCAGAAAATGGTGCAAGCAGGTGACAAATATGTACACAATTGGAGCCCTCCCTGGAGGTCAGGCCAGGGACACTGAGGACTTAATGGAGTCCCCCTTCCCACCTTTTGCGCCATCCTTACCTATTTATTCCAAAAAGAACAAAAAGGCCAGCCTCAGGATGTATGCTGCATGTCTGTCGTTCATATTTGCTTGCTTTTTACGGAGATGAGGCCTTGCTCTGTAGTCCAGCCTGGCCTGGAACTCAGAATTCTCCACATAGGGTGAACTCCTGATGACCATATCCCATCTAGGTGTTTCTTAACTTTCTATAGAGACTGTTTGGACAGTAAAGGGAAAACAAAGTCATGCCTGAGTAACTTTGTGTCTTTGTACCTTTAATGCTAGGTTCTCAAGCCAATGGCCACCAGCCCTTGCGTTCACTACCTTCAGTGCGCCAAGATGTCAGCCGGTACCAGAGAGTGGATGAGGCTCTACCACCAAGTGAGCAGCTATTACCTAAAGGACACACCTTGATCACAAGGGGCAACACACTCTGTGGTCCTGGAGAGGAAGGGGTCTGGGGCCATAACTGACCGAGTTTAGAAAACGACATCAGCTCTGCTCTGCTGAGTGAAGGGCAGCAGAAGGAAAGGGTTCTCAGGGAGAGCCCAATAATCATGGGAGGAGGCCCAGATGGTTAGGTAATAGGGTGGTAGATCCAGATGGATAGGTAAATTGGGTGCATAGGAGAGTTTTTAAACATTATTCCTAAGAGCAGTCTGGATTTCATTCCATTAATAGACAAATGGGAACAATCTCAGAAAAACCTCACTGCTTTTCTGTTCCTGCCATTTTATAGCATTAAACACAAGGTTCTGATTATTTTTTTTCTCATAGGTTTGGAGTGAAGTGTTATTAATCTTAGAAATTAGCCTACTTTTAGGTTAGTATTGCATTTCTTTGGCTTTCAGGAAATACTGCACTTAACAGGACTGATGGTTGAGGACCAGCAGAGTGCAGTTGTGTAACTGCACTCAGAGATGAGCATGCATGCCTCCTACAACCTGCACAGAATTCATTTAAACTCTGGAATCCCTTGAAGTAATGATGCACTGCAAGGGTAACATTTTGGTGAATAATTGCACAAGCCTGTAACTACTCGCCCTCTCCTCCGCTCAACTATCTTGCATGTGATCATGGCAAGAGTTGGAGTCCTTAAACCCCTCCTATTTTAAAAAGGGGAGGGGGCATGCGAAGAGAGCAGGGCACAAATTGCTGGCATGAAAATGCTGAGTGGAGAGTTTTGGTGTGAGCTGAGGAGAGCTGAATGGTACTGTTACAGTTCGGCAACAACATTGGCAAATATTTTGATGTTCTCTTGTTTAGTTCCCTTATCTGTGTACTTGGATAACTAAGAACTGCTATTCAGAAAAAAGAAATCATGCATTTTCATCAATGAAAAAAAATGAAGAAGAAGCAGGAGGAGGAGGGAGGGAAAGAGACTTTTCTTCACCCTTGGAAGAAAGATTCGAGTCAGGAAAGAGGATAATCCTGGCAGATAGTTGAGTATAATTTGAGCATAATGAATTAAGCATACCAAGTGAAAGTTCTAAGAGGACTGTGTTTTATATACATAGAGAAACAGGATAGTAAGTCCACCCATGTGATGATTTATTATGTAGTTTTGATCAAGTGTGGTCTGAAAACAGTAATTTTTAAAATATCAAAAGCAATCTCCCCCAAATAAATCCTACTGTGTGCATTATATAGTGTAAGTGGGGTGCTGAGAATCTGCCATTCAACCTGACTCTCATCACTGGGTTTAACTCATTGTGGGACCAGCTCTGAGTCTCTCTGCCCTTAATTTTGTGAAAACATGCTTTCCCTAAAGCAAGATAAAGTTCTAGTTAACCTCCCAAGCCAAAAAGTTTGCATAGTGTGCTTATTGTATGTGACAAGATGAAAATGTTTGATGGAATGTTTGTTGGATGTTGCTGTGGGAAAACAAACCAAACATCCACTGTATGTATGACAAAGAACGCGAAATAAGGTCCAGTTTTGGGTGACAGTATTGATGCATCATTTTAGAGCCCTGAACTCTTTGTATCCTGAGCATGCTCAGGTTTTCCTCAATGGAAGTCTCTGTGGAACCACATACCTGTGGTTAACAAGGGGGCTACTGTAATGGGAGCTTCTAGACAGAGGCAGAAGATCATGCTAGTGCATCAATGAACACACTCCTGGTCACTCCCAGTGGCTCTAATAGTTGTGGGATATAAGGTCACCCCTCAGATTGCATTAAATAAGCACAAGTACTTTATTGCTGAAGTTATTATGGCCACTATTTGTGACATCTCCATGTATTTGTTTAGGCACTAATTGGCAGGTAGTCTTCTTTGGGGGGAATTTTATATATATATATATATATATATATATATATATATATATATATTATTGTAGAACTACTGTACAGAGGAGTTACAGTTACATGACTAAGGTAATGAGAACATTTCCTATCGAGCATTTTTACCTCCTCCTTTGTTTTTCCCCTATCATCCCTTCCCTCCCCACCTCTCCTGGGGGACTTTTTTTTAAAAATTAGCAATTCACTTTAGTGAGTTAATACATCCCGAAGTGACAGCAGTTGAGTGATATATCCTATTTAATGAGTGACTGATGAACAGAAAAACCTTAAGATATGCTCCCTCTTGTTCCATGGTTTTCAGTGTTGGTGGCTTGTGCTAACTAACGCATTAGGGACACTTGGAGTACATGGACCAGCTTTCATCATTACAAAGTTTGCAAGGTGTTGCTGGTGCTCGTGTTGTGGGAGACAGGAATGTCAAATACCCTACAATGATGAGACAATCTGGTAAAACAGAGAATGGTCCCATCAGAGGCCTGATAGTAAGCCCACTGAGAAAGTCCTCTCTGTACTAATTTATTTAATATTCAGTAATTGACACTTTTGAACAACATAACTGGGATCTTTATATTTTAAAAACTCAGAAGTGAAAATATTACCCTCTCAAACTGAGATTAAACACACACACACACACACACACACACACACACACACACACACACACACACACAGTCCTGTTGTAGGAAATAACAGCTTGAGGATTCAATGGGAAGGGCATGTTGCAGACCAGGGTCTAAGCATGCCTGAGATTACTTTCTGTGGTTTCCCATCCATCTTACCCCAGTCCTCCCTTGTTTCATCCTCACAGTCTTTAAATCCCTTGGCTACCCCTGGTGGATTCCCACCCCGCATTGGCTTTCTGCTGCCACCTCTGACTGTGTCTCTGATTTATAGTTCTGTCAAATTTGTGGAGTGCTCCACACCGTAAAAGCACTTCTATAGACGTTCTTTTTGTTGTTGTTGTTCTAATAACTTTGTGAGATTGATCCAGGAGGTCGCATCTATAATTGACAGATTGATGTATAGGAGCCAGATATGGTATAGCTCTCTTCTTTTACAGATAAAAGCCAGATCAATTCAGCAATATTTAAGATCCCTGCTAATAAAAGTTGAAGCAGAATCACTTACAGTCCTTTACCAGCACGAGGTGGACTATCCTAAGCTTACTGGGACAGGAGAGTGCAGACGGAAGCATGGCAATCATGGCCGTTTGATTTGAGGATAAGTAGGCTCATATGCTGCTGGACTCTAGCAACACTTTTGAGTTTGGAGGATTCCCCAGAACTTCATTAATATTGCAGTACTTGGAGGCTAGACCCAGCAAGGCTCAAAAAATTCTCAGGTTTCTTTTCTTATGAGATGGCTTTTTGCCACTAGTCCTTCTCTGAGGAAGCTCCTCACTTCTGAGAGTGTTTGCAACCAACATCCCTGAAAACAACCCCACCCTCATATAATTAATACATGCTTAAAAAAAAGAAATTAAGAAGATTTAATGGCCTACTTTACTGCATCAATTCAGTTCTGTAGCAAGTCACCTGTTAGTTAACATGTCAGGATAATAACTATTTCTGAGCATCTATTTTGAACACTTTATGTAAAGCAATTTTCTTTGTGTGTTTTCTGCTTGATTCTGTGTCATTTCTCCTTTCTCAGGACTGGGGAGAAGATCTTAGACTTTAGTGTGGTCTGCCCAGCTGTAAGAGTGATCTACCAGTAGGTGCTTAGATTCTCATTCTTGCCTTCCCTGTGAAAATGCCCTCTTTGACCTTGAGGACCTTGTGTCTCCAACCACTGATGGAGGGATGCTCTGATGATTCATAGAAAAGAAGGAAGCTCCTCACCTTAGAGGAGGCCTGTGCATGTTGTGAGCCTTCCTAGAAAGTAGCTTGGGCTTGAAGAAGCACTGAGCACCTTAAGAATTGGCTCTATATTCTCAAGGTCACCAGTTGTGCCAGCAACTAGTGGCAATTGGGAATTGAAGCCTGTGAGAACATGATCAGCACTGACAGCCTTAGTTTCCTTAGCATTAAGATAAGAATGGAAAGAATGGGGCTGGGAAGGTGGCTCAGTGGTAGAGCACTTGCCTTGCATGCCTGAGGCCCTGGGTTCGATTCCTCAGCACCACATAAGCAAAAAAAAGCCGGAAGTGGCACTGTGGTTCAAGTGGTAAAGCGCTAACCTT